AAAGAGAGAAGGGAGCTTGCTCTGTGTGTGCAGGCGCGTCGCAGGCACGTGAGGTGTGTGAAACTATACAGTAGCATGTGAGGAACAGGAAATAACCGAGCCAGAGCAAGGGGAAGTGGACCGGAAAGAGCCGAGATGGGAGCAGTGATCTAATCAGTCCCTATGAGGCAGGAGGGAGTCAGGAGCCCTAGAGTAAGCGGATAAATCCGGGAAAAATAGTGTAGGGGGTTTTGGAGGACGGCGAGTACGATGGTGTACAGTACGAGTCTGTCTGAGAAGCAGGAGACAGCAAATCACGAACACGAAACTAAAGAAATTCAAACAGAGAGCCAGAATTCAACAGAATCACGCTCGCAGACGTACTGTATTTGGCCTCCTGGTATCACAAACCTGACCCCAAGATGAGCAAGACTCGTGACAGATATGGTACTGCAACCCACCTGTCTGACATGCACATATCGGGAACCCAACCACACGGCGCCACCGGCTTTAGAGCCTGCGATGGTTGTCCAGCATAGAAGGGCGACAGGCGGCCATGCGTGGGCAGGGCAAATGGTAGACCGAGCCTTGGAAGTACTCGTAATGCTGTATCACACACACAAGGGGAATTGACTTAGATGAGGAGACACACGTCGAGCCTCACTACAAATACTGGGGGATACTTAGCATAATCCCCAACACCACCTGGCAGTCTCCTCACCACTTGCGCATCATTGATTGCGGCTCTCTATAATCTTGTGTATTCTTGTCCTCGTCCCCGCCACTGTCTTTGCCATGTCATACAGCAACATCTCCGGACTGTACACCTATCTCTGGGAGCAGAAATCCCAGGCGTATGTTGCTGACCAGATCGACAAGGCGCAACTCTTGGTGCCAGCATTTGAGAAGATTGAAAACCTGACCAATGTACGTTGTCAGCTGTGCCTTTGAGTTAGGGTGCCTTCTTACCTGTTTCCTAGACCTCTTATGTGCAAATGTATCTCATTTTCCAACAGGACGGCAATGTCAAGATCCTCATTAGCCGGGACGGCGAGGTCATGGAGTCCGTCTTTAGCATGACAGCTGTCCTCACCGACAAGTCTGCGATGCCATATTCTACGTACAAAGAGTAAGTAATTTGACATCGTCTTCTGCCAAAGTCAGACACTCACATCTGAGTACAGGTTGATGCAGACTCCGCCTTGGGGGCCCTTTGGTCACCAATACGTTGTTCTCACCGCGCCTGGGCTTTCCACAATTGCGACTATCAAGGAGGCCATCAGCGTTGTCCATGTTATAGCTGCCTTGACCTGCCCGGAGGGCTCCCTCAGGCTGCTGACCGATCTCTTCCTCGAGGGAGACGATGCGGTCATTGCAAGTACTCCGCTGGGGACCCAGGCCGCTCACGCTCATCTAGATGACACACCTGTAGTACTTACACAGCAGCAGGACCCAAACAGCCATGTCCAACAGTACTGTCAATAGCACGTGCTTCTAGTCCTGCAGGATAATCAGGTCAATGTGTTTCTGGCTTCGCACATGGGAAAGTCAGTCCTGTACATTCCTTCTTCGTCTGACTGTAGTCACTCACAGAGCAACTAGTGCCGGCTCATATGACCTGCATCTCTGCGTCCAGATTGTTCGTGCATCGTACCAGTTGGCTGTTGAATGCGCAGTCTAGGAACGAAGCGCAACACTCTGCAGCACACAGAGAATAAGCAAGTAGGGGAAAAGAGAGAAGGGAGCTTGCTCTNNNNATCTAATCAGTCCCAATGAGGCAGGAGGGAGTCAGGAGCCGTAGAGTAAGTGCATAAATCCGGGAAAAATGGTGTAGGGGGTTTTGGAGGACGGCAAGTACGATGGTGTATAGTACGAGTCCGTCCGAGAAGCAGCAGACAGCGAATCATGAACACAAAACAAAAGAAATTCAAACAGAGAGTCAGAATTCAACACACCCTCCTGATGAGCCGCCTCTGCAAAGAAACACCCTCCTTTTCCAAACCAAGGGACGTTCGGCAGCGCTCAACGCGCGCAACGTCCAGGGCTTTGGTCAGGATGTCTGCCGGCATGTTCTCAGTGCCCACAAAGGTCCTGGCTCTTCTACAATACTTGTGAGGGCTAAACGCACAAAATGCAACCAGGCCACTGCCAAGAAGGACGCGCTGGACATGGATACACTCGGCGAGTTGCCATTGCCTCCTCCCTCCAAGAAGTAATTCAGTTAGTTATCTCCGTCATCAACAATTATATTATGCTGTCTCCTGTTATTAGTATGAGCTGTCTTAATGCCATTGGCGATACTTCTCCGTTCTATGCATTGCCAGACAATGGCACAGCATGACACAAGGGTATCAAGAAAAAACAAGCCAATCACATGCATGAAGACAGGCAGCCTAATTATTACAGGCATCGGACATGACCAAGACACTAGATAAGTACTAGAAAGGCGACCAGCAAGTGTCAATATCTTCCTGCTAAAGGAAGAGTAATGTCTGCGTACCGTGCGAGATTGTGGGAACAACAGGCAGCTAGTAGCCTAGCCAATGTACCCAAACAGCAGAGGCGGCTGCTGATTATGTAGGCAGGACCGTAGGAGGCAGGATTGAGCGATCGGGGGAGCACGGACTCGAAATGGAAGTCGACAGCTGCACGACAGACATTACCGCCCGAAGGCAATGTAGAAGCGCTCGCAGCTCCTATTGCATACAAATCAGTCACTTTAAGTCAAACTATCAGCATACCACTGGTTTCAACAGCCTACACCCATCCGCGCATCCCTCATCCACCCCAAGGCTAGCCCTCATCTAACACCCGCACCAAGGGGGCCGATCGATATGATCGCGGATCGTGGGCTACAATCCACAGAAGCACAAAGGTGATGCCTAGTCACGTAAGTGTTGTGGAGACCATAGCGATAGGGAGGATGCAAGCGGAGTATATGGGGGTCAAGATCAAGCCGCGACTTGGACTTCCGGTCGTAAGAAGCCCCATAAAACACGGTCACATGGGTTTTGTATCTTGACTCTAAGTGGGTGAGTAGATACTTGTGGGTGTCACCGCCTCAGGGTGTTATAAAATCAAGATGAATTGTACAGTACGCTATGAGTACTAGCACAATATAACCAAGCTACCTAACTGTACTTCTACTTGTCGTACCAGAGTGTGCGGATGGTCTCTTCAGGGACCCCGGCTGGCCGGAGAACATTGCGAGGAGGTAACGCCAGCCAGCCCGTGCACTTCAATGCACCGCACTCACAGTCGTTATATCCATGGCGATCTGTCTCCTCCGGACGCTGAGCCTTCAGCGCTGCCTTCTTATCCTGCGCCAATGGCAGTGAGTAACCAATACTCGGTAAAGAATGAAACTTGACGTATGTCGGGTATCTCGTTTGTGTGCCAGTATGTGATTGAAAGCATGTGACCCTTTTTGATCTTGCGGTCCGCGAAGATTACTGGGAAGGCAGGAGCATGCGGATGACTCCCAAATCGACACATGATGATCGTGCCGTTGGGCACGCAACTATGGTTCTGCGATTGACATGTTAGCGGATGTGCGTGTATGAGTGGGTTAAACGTACAGCATAGCGTAGGTACTGAACCATGTATAAGTTACAGAAAACTGATATAGGATGATTGGTACGCACATTGCCCATTTCATCCGCCGCAATGTAGAGTCTGTTGTCCACACCGGCCTCCTTAAACTCGCAGTCCCCGTCGTCGCAGCAAGGGACCTCATCAAGAACTCCAGAGGCCATACTGTACGCCTCAGGTCCAATTGCCATCTGAAACTCAAAAGAGTCATCCGGTAAGTCGCTATCCAGCCCTTCACAAGTCAAATTGTGGGTGAGGGCACCTTCATCCAAGTGCCAGGTAGGGGTCGAATGACCTTTCCAAAGCACAAGAAGATATGTTCAGCTGTTGACTTTGTGGGCTGCAAGGACCGCATCAACACGAGGATTCCGGGGGGGGCGAGGGTAGAGGAGGAAGTGGAAGAAGACATCGACTCGGTGACCGTGGACTCTGTCACATAGTTGAAGTCGTCGTGCGGAAGACGAAGACTGGGATCCAGGTACGCGGCAAATCCCAGAGAGTGCGGGCGAGAAATCTGCACACACCTGAGTACGATAAGGTTTAGAAATACTTGTGTAGTAAGAGTAGGACGTGAAGCACTTTGCGGCTTCCATGTTTTCCAGCCCAGTCTTCAAAATCCCCGCATAGATTCCCAAACATGTCCCACGCTTAATTTCTACCTTAGCTTGTACACCTATGAAGAGATTAATATTTTATATGGTCTGCTAAGACCTTGTGCACTCACTGAAGCCGATGCCGCCCTGGGGTACAACTTTGAAGCACTACGCGCGCGGTTGCGGCGAGTGCTAACACCAAACGATCAGCGCAGTGTACAGGAGCACACAGTCCCTCCTACTTCCGTGACACATATCCCCGCACACATACATGTGCTCCGATCCCGTGTTGCGCCTGCATTTGCATCCTGGCCGTACCGCACACCGACTGGAGTCCCTCTTGCAAGGTTTACATTGCATATTGTTGCAGATGCGACCGTCCAAGGGATTGACATCTCCCGTACAGCGGCAATTACGATGGGGAGCGCAGGATGATCCGTCTTGCGCGCAAGTACAGCTGGCTACCAGATGACCGCCTGCTGCAATTCCAACCGCTTGGTACGCCTGAGCGCGAGGATCATAGTATACCGGACCGGCGGTATAGACCATAGAGCCTGAGCCAGCAAAATAGTTGCTAGGTTGAGCCATGAATAGTAGAGATGTCGGTGGGATGTGGTGTGAGATCAAGCGGGGTAGTGGGGAGACGCGACGTGGCGGTGAAGTTCCAAGTCATGTCGCGTCACAAGGGATCAGTGGCCTATATTGGGCGGCAATCAACCACCATTTCAACCCACCTTCTATGCCACAGGTAGTGCTGCCCTAGCACGCAGGGATCAGAGAACATATAATTATAATCCAAGTACTGTTACAATGTAACTATGACCTTGTCTACCATTGAGTGCGCGCAGCTTTGCCGGTGTGTCATCACCGCTACCTCAGCCTGTCACACACACACCATCCCCTCACCTTGACCTCAACTGCCATCTAGTACGGATGGCAGCTCGACCTAGATCAACTGGCAAATCAGTAAGAGAAAGACAGCATGTACGATATGTGACGCTCACGCGAAGAAAGGCGAAGGGACACCAAAATCCCTCCTGGACAGAGCCAGGGGCACCTCCTGTTGTCAAGACGGAGAGCGAGCGACGTAGTCGCCAAAAAACGCGCGACTGGAGCAAGGGCACGTATAAACCAGGTATGCCCTGCTTCAATTGCCGAAAGGCAAAGCGGAGGTGCGGACGGGAAGGCAATACTACATGCACGTGAGTAAAGTTCGCCATAGTTCATATACAGGTATAAGATGGCTCACTCTGCGTAGACCTTGCCTGGAGCGTGACTTGCTATGCGTCGCGCCTACCAAGTCGTTTCAGGGGTACCATGCAGATCTCTCCGACAAGTCTGCCACCAATCCGAGTGCCGCGTATGAAGACTAGGTGTGCAAAGGATTGGAGGATCTGGGTGTTGGCTTGCGGTGAGTTTGGCAAAAGGACGAATGCGGAAGCAGTTTCTCACATATTGCTCAGGCTTCCTACAGGCTATTTAGTTGGATCAACAAGTGGGTCAAGTACTGAAGCGTAGCAGTCGTGTAGCTTGTAGACTAATGATTTACGTACTATATACCATAAATGCGAGAAGACGGGTTGTTGCGAGAAGTCAGGTCATTCGAGAGACCAGGTGAGAAAACTGATATGAGACATAAAGAGCCACCTAGGAGATCCAGACAGAAGCCCATACCACAGCTGTTTCACTGAGAGAATAGCGATACCGCTAGTTATTGTAGAGGCCGAGAAGCAGGAGGCAAATCTCAAATCGCAGTCAAGAAACTGAGTAGTCGGAGTTCGCATACATTATTGAGGGGTATACACACAGCGTGTATCACTCGAAGCCTAGACAGCAGTTACACACGAGAGCAAAGCGCTAGAACTCATACCGTATCCCCCAGATAAAGATCCTCCACTGGTAAGGGATCCAAAGCGCGGCAACTGGCACAGATAATGAGGGGACTCCTAGTCACGTCAGATCTATGCAAATCACAACACCGTGTGTGCATGAGAGGATGAGAGGGAAGCTTAGGGTTTGTTATGAGAGTCAGTCAAGAGCCATGGTGAGTGGGGCAAGCAGTGCAAGTCGGGCCGGAGATGGCCAGTCCCATCATTCCACAGTCGAGACGTCACGATTTCAGGACGTCTCGACCGTGAGATGATGGGACCGGCCATCTCCGAGGAAGCTGGCGCACGTCCACTACGATCTCTGCACTCTTCCTATAGCTCTCATGTACTCCCCTCCATTAGCTCACCATGCTCAGGAATACTGGAACTCGCACCTAATGTAATAGGGCTCAGCACATTCCCTATTGAACTG